GGAATACCTACGGCTCGTGGCGAGATTTCGACTCTCGCCGAACATAGGAACAGAATGGTGCGACTGAAAGAGATTCAAGAATGAAGCAATACTTACATACTAATGTGTGCAACGATAAACCTTTTCTATTCGTACTTGCAATGATGCTAATTTTTTTTATTACATACGAAATACTTGAAATGGCATTCCCGAGAAACAATAGTTATTTATCATTTATTGACCTAATTAATGCAGATGTTATATACTTACACATATATTTCATAAAAAGATGCAAAAAGAATACAATTAATCGCAAACGCTCCCTCAATCTTTTCATTTGTCGACCAGCGGAAATAGATTTTGAACTAACAACGATTTTTCGACTTTCTTGTATATATGTGCACAGGGATAAGGAAAGAAGGACTTGAAGGATTTGAAAAAAAGTACGATCTTCATATTATCAAAAATGTTTTATTTTAATGAAAATAATTATTGACATATATGGGGCGGCTGCCCCCGCTACTCCGCCGGCCACCACGCCGTCCACCGCGACGGTCGCTATACATGATTTTTTTTATCATTTTTTTTATCTGAAACAGTAAAATAAAAATTAGATCTTATAATTATATTCGTACATTTATATCGGTAGTGGGCAACTGTTTGCTCACGCTCATCGAAAGGAGAAATTCCAGCCGCGCGATACTCGTGAACGATCAGTTGCCCACCTCTGATACCAGAGATGGGTAAATTTTTATTTAAATAAAAATTTCAAATAACGAATAAAAGATAAACAAATTATTTGTCATGCGTCGAATAAAGATAATTCTGGTAATCTTTATAAGACGCATGACAAATAATTTTTTTATTTGATGAGAATTTATTTGACGAACAGATTTTATAAAAGTACATTATAAAAGTTCACGGTTTCATTCAATCCCTGCTTTCTTCATGGGGCGATACAACATTGTAACGCGCGTGCCGGGCCTTCGACTCCCCATTCCTCGGCAGCGCGGCTCGAACGCGATCAGAAAAATATTTTACGTCAAATAAATATACAAATAAAAATGAAATCTTTATAGCACGCTGAAGATAAATTTTCATCAAATAGAAAAATTAGTTGTTATGCGCCGAATAAAGATAATTCTGGTGATTTTTACTCGACGCATGACAAATAATTTTTTTATTTGGTGGGAATTTATTTGACGAACAGATTGTATAAAAGTACATTATAAAAGTTCACGGTTTCATTCAATCCCTGCTTTCTTCATGGGGCGATAAACATTGTAACGCGTGCCAGCCTTCGACTCCCCAGCAGCAGTGATGCCAGTGATGCCAGAATCGTAGAACTTGGTTCCACCACCACGACGTCCTGGCTACCCCCACTTTATTCCACAGTTTCTGCCACACAAGCATACTTTGCTTCTATCCGTGTGAGCTGGCCCGTTCGGGTGTTCCGTAATATCTACGTTACCAACGCGACTCCCAACAACCAGAGCGCGTGCGCAGAAATCATTTCGTGTGCTGACGTCCTGGCTACCCCCACTTTACGTCCACCGTGCTGGCACACACACACCAGGTATATTCAGCCCTGCCATGTGCGCAGGCCGTTCGAGAGACGGTGAGCTATATTTAGAAAAGAGTGGGGGAAAGCGACCCACGATTCTGGCATCACTGCTTGCCTTGGAAATCCTGTTCGAATACGACTGCTGCGAAAATTCACGTTCTCGACGCGATGCCCCGCAACCTAAGCGCGTGAACAGTCAAGAAATCCTGTTCGAATCCCAATGCGGCGGTTTTACTTTTTATTTTTAATTATTTTATAATTTCACTTTGTAACCTCTAAGTAAAATAAAAAAGTTAAAAAATATTGATTCAGGAAGCATTTAAAAAGAAGAAAATAAATGTTTTCCACTTCAATGTCTAAATTTTTTATTATATACATACATATTATGTTGTATACACATAAATTATTTTTACAATTAGATGTTATCCTTACAACCCTACTCATTACTACTCTGAACATTCGTACAAAAATCTATTAGATTAAAATATTACGTCATAAGTGTATCTTCAGTCTTTTAAAATTTGTTAAAGATGTGTTTACAATAATATTTATATTTTATCTTTCACTATGGCAATTATGATTATCATTATATTTATATATTTATTTCTTTTTAGATATATACATAAGCAAAAGACTCGTACTTCGTTACTTTCGTTAGCTGCGAAACTTCTACTCAAAAGTGAGGAAGCGAAATTACAGAATAATTCAGCAAAAAAAAGATAAGTTCATAGCAATCTTAATATTTTATCTTATGTTATTAAAATTACTATTTCAATTGTGTTTTTTTCCATTCATATGGAGAAAAGCAAAAGACCATTCGGCATCGTATATATGTGGACCAGCTGCAGCGGTTTTCGTTAACGGCGAAATATATCATAATTTTAAAAGACTGAAGATACACTTATGACATAATATTTTAATCTAATAGATTTTTGTACGAATGTTCAGAGTAGTAATGAGTAGGGTTGTAAGGATAACATTTAATTGTAAAAATAATTTATGTGTATACAACATAATATGTCTGTATATAATAAAAAATTTAGATATTGAAGTGGAAAACATTTATTTTCTTCTTTTTAAATGCTTCCCGAATTAATATTTTCTAACCTTTTTATTTTACTTAGAGGTTACAAAGTGAAATTATAAAATAATTAAAAATAAAAAGTAAAACCGCCGCATTGGAATACGAACAGGGTCTCTGACTGTTGCTCACGCGCTTAGGTTGCGGGGCATCGCGTCGAGAACGTGAATTTTCGCCGCAGTGATATTCGAACAGGATTTCCAAGTCAACAATGATTTCAGAATCGTGTACGGTTTACCCCCACTCTTTTCTAAATATAGCTCACCGTCTCTCGAACGGCCAGCGCACACGGCAGGGCTGGGATATGCTTGTGTGTGCCAGCACGGTGGACGTAAAGTGGGGGTAGCCGGGACGCATAGTGAGAGACGATGGTACGTCGGAGTGGGAGAGTGGTGGGGGTAAACAGTACCACGATTCTGGCATCACTGCCAATGAGGCTGGCACGCGCGTTACAATGTTGTATCGCCCCATGAAGAAAGCAGGGATTGAATGAAACCGTGAACTTTTATAATGTACTTTTATACAATCTGTTCGTCAAATAAATTCTCATCAAATAAAAAAATTATTTGTCATGCGTCGAGTAAAGATTACCAGAATTATCTTTATTCGGCGCATAACAACTAATTTGTTTATCTTTTATTCGTTATTTGAAATTTTTATTTAAATAAAAATTTACCTATCTCTGGTATCAGAGGTGGGCAACTGATCGTTCACGAGTATCGCGCGGCTGGAATTTCTCCTTTCGATGATCGTGAGCAAACAGTTGCCCACTACCGATATAAATGTACGAATATAATTATAAGATCTAATTTTTATTTTACTGTTTCAAATAAAAAAAATGATAAAAAGAATCATGTATAGCGACCGTCGCGGTGGACGGCGCGGCGGCCGGCAGCCGCCTCATATATGTCAATAATTATTTTCATTAAAATAAAACATTTTTGATAATATGAAGATCGTACTTTTTTTCAAATCCTTCAAGTCCTTCTTTCCTTATCCCTGTGCACATATATACAAGAAAGTCGAAAAATCGTTGTTAGTTCAAAATCTATTTCCGCTGGTCGACAAATGAAAAGATTGAGGGAGCGTTTGCGATTAATTGTATTCTTTTTGCATCTTTTTATGAAATATATGTGTAAGTATATAACATCTGCATTAATTAGGTCAATAAATGATAAATAACTATTGTTTCTCGGGAATGCCATTTCAAGTATTTCGTATGTAATAAAAAAAATTAGCATCATTGCAAGTACAAATAGAAAAGGTTTATCGTTGCACACATTAGTACGTAAGTATTGCTTCATTCTTGAATCTCTTTCAGTCGCACCATTCTGTTCCTATGTTCGGCGAGAGTCGAAATCTCGCCACAAGCCGTAGGTATTCCATCGTTCTCCTGATGGGCAGAATTGTCAAAAATCGATACTGTCAGGCAACACTGTCTTCGCGTAGTAAATACACAAACCCAACTTGATGGTAATGGGGAACAAAATTTATTTGTGGGTATTGCCGTTAGATGTCATATTATTAAGTTGTTCCAATTATCGATTATGTGTTTTCGTTAGTGTCCGATTGATTATAGCAGCGCTTCGATCGATTCGGAGTTGGCCCCAAAGGAGTCTCCTCCCTTAATAAACGCATTTCAAGATTATAAAATAATCAATATTCACTTAGACACGAATGTTTAAACATTTGCCAGTTGCCTTCGCCTCCTATCCTAGCACTCAAAATCATTGCAGATATGTAAATCGCTCGTTATCGATAACCGGGAAAAAACGCATCAACGATTCAAGATAAATCTTAGAAATCAATAATTTTAAGATTGGTCAGTAGTAACTAAGGACATTTTGTAATTAAACAAAAAGGTGTATGAAGAGAAATGAAAAGACATTCATTCCATCGACAACATTGTAACTGAAAAGACGTATCAAATTACCTTTATCAATTAAATTCGTTTTCCTTTATAATTAGTTTAAAATCGTTTATTGTAATAGTTAAATATAGTTCCAAAGTTTTAATTTAAATCTCTATTGCAGTTTATTCTTATCGTTATAATTTCCTTTTATTTACAATTATCTATAAAGCTAACGCGTTTCACTCTTCAATTACATTGAAACTCAGGATTCCCTGAGGGCCCATGCAACAGCTGATATGTTTTCAGTTACTTTTAAATAATGCCAACTTCACTTTCATCTCCTTTTCTAATCATTAGACTGCGGATCTTTATGTAAAATAAAATTTTATATAGGAATTTACAAAGGCAGAATTAAAAACAAAGACTTCTTTTGCCTCCTAAGAAGTTTATTGCGTTAAGAATAAAATGAGAAATATATCAAACCTGATGTAAGTTCTATCTTCTATTACATTTCACATACTCCTTTATGCTATAAATGCATAAAATCGGCAGTGTACTAAATACAATTCACTAATTACAATGTACTAATTTGAATTTCACGCTTATGGAGCTTATGCTGGACGCCGCTACAAGATGAGGGCGAGATTCACTACACTTTACGAAGTTAACTGTAAGCCGCATCCGCAACTCGTGCGTCGTGCACAATCGATAGTAGATTGTACTATTGTAGTAGTTCATTTCTGTCAAATGGATAATGGCAGCAACGGCGATTGGTATGATGTTGCAAAGCAATGGATTTCAGTCAAAGAAGAAAGAAGATGCAGAGAATAAAGAAAATTTGTGGTAAAATTTACGTCTATAAACATTTCAATATAGGATAAACTTTTATTTATAAGTAATCATAACTCATAAATGTTTAGACATTTTCTTTGTATGCCACATATCGCAAACGAAAGAATTAGTCATTTTCAGGATCGTGGTTAGAATTTTTAATTACAATGTCATTTTGATTTATGTTTTGTAGGTCCTCTATCTTGGCTGAAGTACAAAATAGTGGCAACAACAAATTACCATCAAACAAGAACATTCTTGTGCTAGGTAAATTTGAATTCTCTGATTCCTTAATTAATGAAATTTCAATGTAACATATGTGTGTATAAACGTGTGAATATTGTGTGCTATTTAATGGAGTTAAAGTTTTTGTTGATAATATGTTAGTCATTTCAGTGAGTGGCTCTGTTGGCACACAGAGAAAAACATACATTGCTTATAATCTATAAAAATATATATTTCAATAATATTTTCTCCTGTAACTTGAGTTAAAATTGTAAGACTTTGTATGAAATTATGAAATAATTAAAAATGTATCAATGGCAGTTTTGGCTATTCGTGTTGCAATGTTTTGAATTTCAATATATTTTTTAGTTATATATGTCCTGTATTTGGTGGGAAATCAATAATCTCAACCTTTTATGTATGAGTAAGATGAGTTTTCTACAAATTTGAATATGTTTCCGTACACATTTAACTAATTTAAAGGATCCATAAATCTTGACGAAGATTTGTTCTAACATGTTATTTTTAAGTAAATATTTTAAATTTAAGGAAGCATAGCTATAAATTTTATAATAATGTGTTATTTTAAATTTAATACATACAGGGTTAACAAAAAGTCAATTATTTTACTCAGTTTTTGTTCTGATATTTCTGTTTTTCTTTATGTACAAATTCTAAATCAGCCTTCACTTTTTGTTTTCAGTTATAGAAAATGTTGCTCTAATGTATTTTTTGCTGGATAAAAGAATATTTAGATAAATAATGTTATCCTGGTCTGTGTCAAGTTTTTCTATGTTTTGTATGTTATTACAAACGTTTTGTACATTAGTGAGAAAAATTATTCAATTTTAAATGTGTCTTTCACTCACTTATATAATTAATAAACGATTACTTTTTCTTCAGGTGATAATGAAAGTGGAAAGACAACACTTATCGCTAAATTGCAAGGTGTAGAGGATCCTAAAAAGGGTTCTGGTTTAGAGTTTGCATACATCGATGTGAGAGATGACTATAGAGACGGTAATAATTATTTAAAATTAATAGTATGTCTTTCTGTAAGTAAGGTCCCTGTTATAAATTTAATAAAAAACAATCTTCTCTAGACCAAACAAGGTTATCTGTGTGGATATTGGATGGTGATCCTGGGCATGCAAATCTTTTCAGATTTGCATTAAATGGAGAGAGATTTCCACATACACTTGTTATGTTAGTAGCTGCAATGACAACACCATGGGATGTTCTCGATCAACTTCAATCGTGGGCTGCACTTCTAGGAGATCATATTGATAAATTACCTTTAGACAATGATACTAGACAACGGTGCAGGCAACTTAGTAAGTAATTTTTCTTACTATATGTTCTTATGTACATGTTCCGATTCTATAACTTTTGGTTTTTAATGGTATAACCCTAATTGAACTGTATTCTAAGATCTAACGATGTGTTCTTTATACACTTAGATGTGAAAAAATGGCAAGATTATACAGAACCTGGAGATGAATTAGATCCTGGTAGTCCTCTAAGACGTACTAGTCGTAATCTTGATGATGAAACAATTGATAATTTACCATTACCAGAAGGAGTACTTACAACAAATTTAGGTCTAGATGTTGTTGTTGTTATTACCAAAACTGATTATATGTCTACTCTTGAAAAAGAACACGACTACAAGTAAGGCTGTGATATGCACAAATTATTAAAAATAATGTTAACAAATTAATTTAATTGGATTATTAATTTTTATTAATAATAACACTTTTATAGAGATGAACATTTCGATTTTATGCAACAGTGGATAAGGCGATTTTGTTTGCAATATGGTGCAGGATTATTTTATACATCAGCAAAAGAAGACAAAAACTGTGATTTACTGTATAAGTATCTTACACATAGAATTTATTCACTACCATTCAGAACACCTGCCTTGGTTGTTGAAAAAGATGCAGTTCTCATGTTTGTACATTCTTTTATCTGACTTCTTATATAAGTTGTTAAAAATCTATAAATCAAAACATGTGTTTAACATTATTTAATTATAGCCCAGCTGGTTGGGATAATATGAAAAAGATTAGTATTCTTCATGAAAATTTGCAATCAATGAAACCAGATGATTATTATAGAGATGTTATTGCGCAACCACCAACTAATAGAAGAGTGGGTATATATACCTTAATTAAGTTAATCTAAAGAAGATTATAAGAGAGAAAATGCTAAGTTTATTACAATGTATTATTGTTAAATAGTGTGTAACTAGAGAAGTAGAAGTGCAAGCAGAAGAAGAACAAGCTTTCTTAGCAAAACAACAAGCTGAATTGTCGGGTCTAAAAGATCCAACCCGATCTCCAACACTCAGAAATCAGGCAAGCACTGGACCGGTTATTCAGGTTACACCATTTATAATTAGAGCATGTTTCTCATTTTACGTGCAGTTAATTAATAATCATTTAGTGTTGAATAATAACAATGTCTTTGTGACTAATGTATAGAGCAGCAGTATTACATGTCCAATTACCGTCTCCACATTCTGTAACAAATAACGCTCATGTGCATTAAAAGTATTTGATTCTGAAATTTTTAGTACCCTAAAAATATCTGGTTATAATCTTAATTAACTTTTTAAGCGAATGTGGCTTTTTATATTATAGGATTTATAGTTACAATATTCAAATTTCATGGTTACTTCTTTTCTGTTCATTTTCGTACATGTTATTAATTCATCTCGATGTATCTGCATTGCCTAGTGTTTATATTTTCGTAGGTTTTGGTTGATTGTTTCCAACCATACAGAAATATAATGGTTCTACGATAAATTATATGTCCCCCTAAATTTGATAATATATGCAGATAGTTTTGTATATTTGTAAAAGTGGTACGTGCATATTTAATTAGACACAAAGTATATAGAAAACATATTTTCATACATCATTTTTTGTTTGATCAATAGCACTGTAAATTTAAAGTGTATGTTTCATTCTTCAGTAATCTACCCTATCATCGCTAAATGGTTTTTTACAGTTAATATCTGAAAGCATGTTCTAATCAATGTGGTATGATCTGCCATGGATTTATGATAGGATAGTTCATTTGGCAAAAACTAAATATTTTTCATGTAGGTGGCTTCACCAAATAAGAAATTAGATGCCAAAGCTACTGGGACCACACAATCCGGAGAAGGAGTTTTAGCTAACTTTTTCAATTCACTTCTCCACAAGAAGACTGGATCGCCTGGTTCGCCAGGTAGTGTGGGCACGAGTCCAGTAAAAATGGGTAAATATCATCTAGTTTAATATACCATGACGTTAATAAAATATGTAACTTAAAAGTTTATAATTTTGTATTCATTTTTTTATGTTAGACTCTCCTCCAGTAGATAAAGCGGCCGTATGTAACGATGCAGCTGTGGAATTAGACCGTCTTGCTAGAACAAAGAAAATTTCTCCTCCCAATTTAAATTCATCTTCTGAATGTTAAAGGAAACGCACTTTCTTTGCGACCTATATATTAAATTTTAAATTTCATGTATTTCTCCGAGTATTCCAGTCGTATCTCAGATACAATTAACCAGGCTTGTGTTTTACAGAGTTGAATTGATGGTTACACATTCATCAAATGTGTTTGGTGCACGCATTAATTCGCAGTAGCTTTTTAATTTAACATTTTGTGGGTTAATTGGTAGCTTTGTTTGTAATTATTTCAATATATTCTACACAAAAAATATTCGCATTATCATAAATTAAAAGAAATAACGGTTGCTTTTGAAGCAACAATTGATACATACGTTATATAAGGCTTAAAATGTCTAGCGGAGTTCGATAACTTGATTAATTTATAAGTGGAAGCATAATTACCCAAACTGAAAATTTATTAGATAACCGTTTTTTCCTTCTTTGAGATGTTACTTTTTTAAAGTTATAGTTAATTGTATTGAGTACATTAATTGATAAAATTAATTATTTATAACGGATGGATAATAACACTTTTAATATTACCATTGTTAAAATAATCTAATTTATAATGGGTCGCAAAGAATTAGAACTTGATTGACCAAGAACTGTATAATGCAATTATTAAAGACGAGTATAAAGCAGAGAAAAACTACACGTATAATAATGTGTCATACAATTTGTCAACAGCCTTACTAGTTGTGTTTGACTAAATATGAATACTGATACGAAATAACAGTTAGAGAATTATTAATTTAATGTAATTAAATATTTAATATAATATTATATTCTAATTCTGCTTACGCACATGTCCTTAAACCTTGTTAGAGTAAATTATTTAACGGTCACCCAAACATGAGACTTTCGTACTCTTAAAAGCAAAATGCGTACTTTTATTGTATCTTCGCTTGTGTTTGGTCTAATTTATAGAGTGCCGTTATTATCGGAAATGAGTCATACGAATGCGTGAGATAGAATTTTATACGAGTTGTTAATAGATTTAAGCGCGCGCGATTTCTTTACCAAAGACGCGGGATTGTCTTTGGCTTTAAGAATCTAACGCAGATTGAAATTGGAGTGCATGTTTGTAGAAAGGGAGAGAGAGAGAGAGAGAGAGAGAGAGAGAGAGAGAGAATGAAAGTTTAACAAGTTGTAATTTCTTTGTCAAATTTTGAAAATATTTTATGTAAAGTGAAGAAATATCCGTACATTCAGTTACGATAAATGTGGCTTTCTGTATATGAAATAATTCAAATTCTTAATAAAAAATAAACAATTTTTCATAAATGCAAGTTGTTTTTATTATAACGACACTCTAACACATTAATTTTTAATGTATACGTGCGTTACGAAAAGTAGCACGTTCCATTTGTCTTACGAAGACTAGCACTTCGGACTTTCTGACTACCAAAAACAGCACGTTTCGATTGTGGTCTTGAAAAGTAGCATGTTTCACTTATAGCGACGATCTACGAAGACTGGCATGTTGTACTTTTTCCCTACGAAAACTAGCACATTTCGGTAGTCTATCGCGAAAAGTAGCACGGTTTGCTTCTAGTCGCGAAAAGTAGCACGTTTCAATTCTAGCTACGAAAACCATCACATTAACTAGGTTACCTAGCATTCTACTGCAAAAATAAAAAGGTAAACGTTTCTTTTTAATGAAATAAACGTTTTTCATCCTTTGAATCTGGGCGACGTATATGCATGTTTCGTATATTTTGTTCAAAATTCTCCGGATTCAAAGGGTTAATGAAAGAAATAAAACAACCAAATATAAACAAACAATCTAATTTATTTAAGTAACAATATTATTATAAAATTGAATAATGTTTGTTGGGATAAGACCTTTACTTATCATAGCTAATAAATTTTGCTTTTTCTTTAAAGACAATTCAATTTTTGTATTATAGGCATTTTGTAACTGATAGTTCATAATGTCCTTTCTTCACATGTACCGTTTCAAAATATTAATTTCTCTACTATTTTCATTGAAACCATATTTCACATTAATTTAATTCCCATCTGGGCATACCCGAATCTCTCGAATTGAAGCGATTTTAACAGAAGACCAGTTAAATTTTTTTGATAAGTCTTTAAAATCGAATATATCTGCCTGCAACTTTTCCTTAACTATGTATGGATTATGAATTTTACAGTCCTTCATAAATCTACACCAGTCATCTTCTGTATGTACAGATTTGTGTTTGAATCGACATCATTTTGTATATGGCCAACTTCTAAAAATCTAAAAAAATCTGGATGTTAAAATGATGCAAAAATGTAAATAATAAATGTTTCTTTTAAATTATAGCAAGTTCAACAAGTAGTGAAACCATTTATTCAACGTAAAAAGTTAGGATTTACGTATGGGTTATAGTAATGTTGAAATCTACAGTAGCTTTAATGAACATAGTGAAGACCATTTTGTTACAGTTTTGTGCGCCGCAGTTATCGCTATATAACATTACTTCTTTAACTCCAATTTGAGATTTCTCGTTGATAAATTGCCATAGAAATGATGCTATTTCATTCGAGCCTCTGTTTCCCACTGTCTTGATCCAAACATTACAGTGACCCATGTGACCAGCCATTTCAAAAATCGTAAAATTTCATACGCACAGTTTGGACATATAATATAAAAGACTTATGTTTGCCCGAGGAATGGTTAATACTTTTTGTATATCAAAGTTTATCGTGCAAATAGATGCATCCTGAATGGATCTTTGTTTATCAATTTTCATAGATTCCCTCGTTTCTTTTTTATTCCTTAAGTGTAAATTTTGTTTTTCGTGATGTAGTGCTTTTTCGCTGTCTGAAAGATTTCTAAAAGCTTCGCATTGTTCACACCTAAGGACAATAATATAATATTTTTGATTCATTCTTGAAAGCAAGCAGTACCTGTCTTTTTTGGGTACAAAAAACCCATAATTAAATTCTGTATTGAAAATTTTTCGATACATTTGCTGCGTGATGTATATCGTTTCATTTTTTTTTTTCATTTCTTCTTCAAACAAAGAATACATTTTACTTGTACTAAGCCCTTCTAAATATTTTCTGGATCTATTTTCTCTGCAATAATGGGAATCCATTACAGGGAAAGACGATGTATGGTCACGAGCAGGTTGTCTAAATTGTTCTGGCACTTTATGAGGTCTATTTGTATGCTTTCCTCTTTCGTCACAATTAATCACGAGAATGCTGTTTGCATATTTTTTCTTTTTCGTCAGCTGTTCTCACCAATTGATAAGAAATGCCTGTTATTAACATTTAAGGAGAATTGAATTATTTTCAATCTTATTCATTAGTTTTTATAATTTTCATGATATTTAAGATGCTTTAAAAATACTCTGAGTTACTCACCCAATGTATCAAGAAAAGTTGTTTTACAAACTTTAATTAGTTCGTCTCCATTTGGCAAAGCAAAATAATAACTGACAACTGTTTTATTCGGTTCTCTCTGGATCTCAGAATCAGGATCAACTGTTTTGGAATATACCCAATTATTTATGCACATCCACTGTTTGCTTCCGTCGCCAAGTTCCCAGAAGTGGGAGAAAGCTGTTTTTCGAGCATCAAGACTTATTTTTTGGGAACAAGGACAGACATATTTGACTTCAAAGATTTATCGAAAAAATGTAACTGGTCTTTTGTTAAAATCGCTTCAGTTCGAGAAATTCGTGTGTGCCCAGATGGGAATTCAGTTATCGTTAAAATATGATTTATATATAAACAGTATGGAAATGAATATTTTGAAACTTTTTCAAGCAGGACATTATGGAATATGGATTACAAAATGCCTACGATACTAAAATTGGACTATCTTTAACAAAAAAACAACAAGATTTATCAGCAATGGTATTTAAAGGTCTTATCCCGACAGAATTTATTCAATTTTACAATAATATTGTTAATTAAATAAATTAGTTTGTGTTTGTTCATATTTGAAAGTCCCACTTAATTCAAAAACCCTTTGAATGCAGGGAATTTCGGCCAAAATATACAAAACGTATATATACGTTGCGCGGATTCAAAGAAACGTAATTGTACAAATACGAGAAAGTTAAAAGTTAACAGAAGAATGGGATAGTATTTCGCCTTGCTTTATTCAAAAATTAAGTGTGACCCTGCCACGGCGATTAAAAGTTGTGATTAAAGCCAAAGGCTACCCTACAAAATATTAATATCTATTCCTTTATGTATTATAATTATTAAATATCAAGCGTGTGCTCAATTTTGTGTCACTAATATAAGTGCACTTTTACATTTTTATATTAAATACAAACACATGGTTTATATTAATTAAATTTGTTTCATCCATTATGCGTCAAAATGTACGAATAAAATATATGTATATTATATCTTTACACTTAAGTATGTATGTGTTTATTTATTCTCCTGCCAATTTTCATTATTAACATATAGGTGTACGCTCAATTTTGTGAGTAACTGTACGTCAACTATTTGTAAATTGAAATGTGCTAGCCTTCGTAGGACATATGGAACGTGTTACTTTTCGCCGCAGTGTTCGAATTACGCTACTGTTCGTGGCGAACTGTGAAACGTGCTTGTTATCGTAGTGAATGTCAAACATGCTAGTGATCATGGGAAACGATGAAGCGTGCTTCTTTTCGGGATAGATTGAAATACGCTGGTCTTCGTAAGACAAATAAAACATGCTACTTTTTTAGAATTTGGCCAAGTACGGGATATTCCACATCAAACGGATCACTTTATAGTTTATACACAACGCCTGGTATTTTGCTCACAAGGGAAGGGACGGTTGTAGAAATCGTTTTTGGAACGGCACTATGTGGAAGTTATAGTACACATATCCAGATTATGTTTTAAATATTTTCCAGTATCGTTGAAAACGAAGGTTTTCGGGTTTTGTTGGGATACCCTGTAGAAATCTAAAGAACAACTTTTTGTAAGTTGACAAATATATTTATTGTTATGATTTCATAGAATACAACTGAGATAATCATACGCCCAGTCTGGTAAAACAATAGAAATACTAAAATAGTAACATTACATATACATACATGTTAATTGTTATGGACAAAGTATTCGCGTTTTAATATATTTTTCGTAAGAAATTGCAGACAATACAATGGGATCTTTAATTATTTAATTTTTAAACGGGAAAATAATAAGAATCGATTATAAATTTAAAACATTGAAATTTTAGATTGAATGAAATATTTTATGGATGTATATTAATGAAAATAAATTTTTTAACATTACTTTACTGTCAATATTTGTATGATACCGTAATAAAATTGTACGATCCCATTATATAATATTATATACTCATGTGTTTACAAGTTTTATTTTAAATGCAATGTATGAATATTTTTAAATGAAAAATCATTTTACAGAAATACTTGATAAAAGGAATGACTTAAGAACTACAAGTTATTCAGTATCTATGTATACATTTTGAATTATCTTATTCAGGATATTCAATTAATGCAAAATCATTGTAACTGTAAAAAGTACATAGTTAATAATTGATTTATTTTATTTCGACAAAATTTATAAGAAAACTTTTTTTTTACATTAGATTGAATTTGAAGTCCAATTAATAAATAACGTTCTTTCAATCTTTGACTTTGTATGATTTAAAGATGCAAAAATTGGTGTCTTAAATTAAATTTCAACGTCTAATGTTTTAGTTATTGTAATTTTAATTGATAAGATTCTTATCCTAAGTATAACGTTATACATATAAGTATAAAATCTTTGAATAATACTTATAATTGGAAGAGCAGGGGAACAGTAGATAATGTATTGCATATACAATTTATGTACTTCTAAAAAGGACAAAAAGGAAATTAATGTTTAGATAAGATCATGGTTATCTACGTTGTGTGCTAATTATCTTTACTTATTTTCAAATGTTCGAAAATCTTCGATTGTTTCGAGTACATTTTTATTTAACATTTCCAAATTAGAATACGGCAATGTGAATTATTAATCGCATTAATTAATCGCATTGTGATATGCTGAAAAATGTTTTAATTGGTAACAAGTCCTTTTACTATACAGCACACCCATGATAATATATGCTACAAAAGTATGATTCAACTTAAAGAAATATTAATTATTTTTAATTTCTGAGAAAAATAAATGTTGTTCTAAAAGAAAAAGTATGAGAAATAATAAAAGCAAAAACATTATACCTTAAATGTGTGATTTTACAAAATTGTATTGAGAATTTTAATTTTGTTTCGAATGCTACAAATACCATTTTTCAAGTATATTGTCACAAGCAGTATTTTTGTTATGCCTTTATAAGACTGATTTTAATGTAGTAATACAAAATATAGAACCATACGAATATCTTTGACGATTAAAGATACAGAAAAATGTTTAAAATAACATATAAGCAATTAAAAACGATAAAATACTAGACATACTCATTTCTTCCAGTGTTATGTTTTTGTTTGTTTTAAAATTATATGGATTATTCAAGTTCTAGCGAAGTTATGTTTTTGAATTTATTGTATTTTATGATGCATAATTGAAGTTGTTTTAATACATATCGTTGTAATACATATGTATAATAAAAATTATGTTATTTAAAACTATTCAAATATCGTCCTCTGTATTTTTCTGTATCGTGAAATTTAAAAGATACGTTTAGGTACTTTATTTCTTGTGATTAATTTCGTAAAATTACAAGTTTGAATTCCGTAAAATGGCTGGAAGAAAAATTTAACACTTGACATAAACTTTCATAGCCAAGAACTTAACTGAATGATCATTTTTCACATATATGTATATATATATTTTTTTACTGTCGTTTCCTTTTTTTCGTTAGAAGACATATGGAATTCGTGTTGTCAAATTCAAATTAAAAAAAATATATTGATAGTTGCATGTATACATATATGTATGCTATACATATACATTGTTAATCACAGATTTCATTAATATTAAATTTCATTATTTTTAAGTGTTTTTACGAAAAAGTAGTCTCCAATTATATCCATTTAAAAAAATGAACAGTTTCCATATGCCTACAACTAATCAGATGTCCAAGAATAAACTGAACCTTCTACAGGTTACAAATGTAATTGGCCCTATCCATAGTCATTGTAAGTATCGAAATTATACTTCAATTACATTTTCATAGCAGGGAAAATAAATGCGGCAGTATTAATGATTAAATTACAAGCGGAATAAGCATAACATGTTTACAAGATATACACGTATATATTAAGTATGCAAATTATAGAATATATAGTATTAACATAATAGAAAGTAGTGAACAGTTATACCTGAATTCTGTTGTGCTGACTATTCCGTATCCAAATGAAAAATAAATGAAAAGGGAAGAACAGATAATGCTGAACTTTCTTTGTGAATGAATTTATATCTAATATTATTGTATATTTTACTATATAATAATTTCCTGGTCGTATTGTTATATTTGATTGAGGAAAGTAATTGTTTTGTGGAAGGTTTGTTGGCTGATTTTTTGTATCTGTAACCATGATGATTATGTACGTATGTATTTAGGAAATGCATTCGAATGACAATTGTGCGTGTAAATGATGTACCAGTATGAGTATTAGTATGAACGTACGGAAATAGGGTAAATGTTCTTATTAGGTAATGCTACTTGCTAGAAGACAGTTGATTATATGTTATTGATTATATGTTTATAAAATTGAACTGGAAAAAAAAAGAACACGAAGTACTGTTACTAATTATTAAATGGCAACCAATTTCTCCTACATTTCAGCATGTCGTTGTTTCGATTTTATACTTTGTCTAATTCACAATTGTCGCGATGTGTCCTACAGAATTAGGAATGAAAAAGGAATAGGCTTCACAGAAATTCGTTTTCATTGACCTATTTGTATCCATTAAAAGAATAATCAAATATTGCATTCGGTTCCCTTTTCAATATACACAAATCAAGTTATTGTCATTTTTCTAGAAGCTAACAAGTATGAGAATAAAATTTGACTCTTGCATATGCAAATATTCTGTAATCCTAAGAAAATCTGTTGCGCATCATTTTCGAACAGTTTGCTCAAAAATGATAGAATTATCGTGCGGGTTATTGAAACTCCTCTAATTGTTTTCACGAAGTTAATGCATGTATGTGAGAAAAATTGAATACAATTTCGTATGAAAGCTAATATTGACAAAGAAATTTGTCGGAAAAATATATTTATACACATCAAAGCTTCATGAGACAAGTGTATAGTAAAATCTGTATCACTGAATGAATGCAATATTTAATCGCTCTTTTATTTTTTTCCTGTACTAAAAATACCGACATAATGAGAGATTATTTGTCTATGTTTAATAAAGCAAAATACGTCTATCCACTGCTTTCCGGCATATCGGGCACTCTGACATCCGGTCGCCACACATTTGACAGGTTCCGTGGCCGCACAGGAATATCATGTTCTTCAAACGATCCAAACAAACAGGACACATGGTCTGTGGGGGAGAAAAGGACGAAGAAAATAAAATATACAAGCTTATTCAAGCGTATTTGTTAATTTCGTTTGATTTACAGCATCAACATCAGAGTATGTAAATTCATCACTCTCGTTTGATTACGTTATTACAGTACTAAATTATACTTCACCACGGTCGAGTTGAACTCGTTTTAAATGTGTTTTTTTATAGTCTTAAATTATTTAAATTTTTTATACATATATATTTTTAATTTATTTTATAAAAAGAACTCACATAATTTGGAGGTTCTGTGTGAATTTAAAGATTAGAAATATAACACGGAAGCGCGAAAGAAATGTCCTGTTTCAATTTTGTTTCGTCACGTTTCAGAATAGTGTTCTCTCGTGTGGTTGATATTCAGTTCCTCAAATTGTCTAGCGAGAAATTTGCGATACGAAGTCTACGTTGCTTTGTTACGATGTACGCGCCGTCTATTATACAGTATACATAATTATGGAGGAAGCAGTGCTTGTAATATAATAACCGATAACGCTTATTACATACCTGTTCCTTGATGTCCTGTAGTTGCTGCTCAAGTTTCTCTATATCGCTGAGAGTTTTATCGATGCTTCCGTTGTTCATGAGAGGTTCCCCGCTTCCGGTGGCTTGCTTACTTGTTGTCGGTTCTTCTTCTGAATCATTCTTCACGTCAGAGATGTTACCTATTTACAATAGAATATTGCAAATTAACATGCAAGTTCTCCTTTTTTTTTAATTTATTTAATTATTGTTTGTAAAATATTCACACCATATATTATATATCATTATTCGCTTAAAAATGGTTCTAACCCATGAAACTTTTGTTTAAATCGATTGAAATTTTCAAAGGTTTTCGTGGACTCGCTTTAGTTCCAACGAAACGAACGATACTAATACAATTTTATTTCTAAGAAAATAAACATGAAGTTACATAGTAATATAAACAAGTACGCCGTTAAGTTTCATGAGAATTCGAAATCCCCACGTTAGTGCTTGAGGGTTATAAATTAAAACAGTTTTTGTACCTGAAGTATTGATGCCCTTAACGTAAGTAACGTCCCCACCCCCGCCGCAACAGAGGGACAATGGTGCCATGTGTTGAATTTGAGCTCTGCATTGGACGCATTTCTTCATAAGGGCAGCGCAACCTTCGCAGGCACACATATGTCCGCATGGACGAAACAGTACTCCTGCCTTCCGATCCGAGCACACAACACATTCTTCAATCTAAGAACCAAACAATTCCCCTCTTGTCACCTTGTTACGAAAACAATACTATTAATTTGATTTACGCCTCATTTTGTGTTCTTTTTTTTTTGTAACCCAAGATTAAAATTACTATAAGTCATTTGTTACAATTATACATATAAAAATTATTATTGGTACTTAAAAAGTGCTGGTTCCAATTTGGATAAAATTATTCGTAATAATCAGTTGCTCCGTTATGGTTTAGAGTGTTAGAGTTTAGACAATTGAAAAATTCTTGTTTTTATGTTGTTCACCAGCTATTTTATCAGACATGGGTGCGGTAGACTATGAAATGCGATTTGAATCTTAAGGTACAATTTTGTGTGAACATGTCCACTTGTGGGTTTATACATATGTTTGAATTTGCGTGCATATGACATTGATATGCGAATAATAGAACATTTTAGTAAGAGAGTATTGATATAAGTATGTGGTGAGGTATTCAGGTGATGGAAGAGTAGTGTAAGTTGTAACTTTGATTTTTAGAATTACATAATACTTCAATAAAATATATACATATATGAAGTAAATTTGTATTTCAAGCAGTTTTTACACTAATGAAATACTGTACATCAATAAAGCGATTTATTTTAATATTCCAGCCCCATTTGTTTTTTGTCCCATTTCTTGAATTCGCGTATCAACTTATTACAGAAAATTTGTTTACTTTGTAGTAATGTTCTTTCGTAAAAAAGATTTTTAGAAAAATCTTACGTAATTACTGTTTTAATAAGTTCTCAGACATTTTGTTGAAACAAGTAGTTCAGTTAGATTGATTTTTCCTCTGTTACATGTTTCGAATATTTTCACACGTTTTAATTATTTTATTTGAATTATTATATTTGGAAATTGTAATGTTTCTTCCGAACTAATTTATAATTCTACTTTTAAGTGTATCGAAATTTTGTAGATTTTTTCAATAAATTCATTACATCAAAATATTAAAATGCTGCCAAAAATGAATTTCAAAAAAATAAATATTTCACCTTCATTCTCGACAGAACGTTCTCCCTGCAGATCAGACATTTCTTCACCCTTGGCGCACAAGTGTTGCAACAAGCAACATGTCCGCAGGGGTTGAAAAGCATTTCACGTTTCCCATCCGAGCAAACCAAACACTCGTCGATCGTTGCCGATGGAGCTGTCGGTTCAATACTGTGTCTGAAAGTATGATTACGTACTGGATATTTACGAACTTTTGAAAAATTCTTTTAGCACATGCATTGTAACTAGTGACAACTAATTTGAACTATAATAAAATAATAGGACAGCATTAGGATTGAATGAACTCTGTTTAATAAGAAAAATACACAGTCAACCTGAAACTGTATCTGTAACCAAATATCTTTCGTAAGCGATACAACTATTCTACCAATGAAATAACGTTTTTTTAAAGGTGAATCTTACTTCGATGAAAAACTTTCATTCCGAGATACAGTTAGAATCACACAAACTTCGCGGTGCAAAAACGAAATTTATGACAACAGTCTAATAGTAGAACTTTCTATACAAATCATTTAGCGCCATCCACATTACGGACAAAGCAAATTTATCGATTTGGTTGCCAAAGTGTTGAAACCTTTCTGTTGCTCAGGGATTCGTTCGAAGGTAATGCACGGTAACGGGTCTTGCGTTTCCGGCGGCCAAAAGAGATTAGGATTACTAACGATTCTCTGTCCTTGTGGCAAGTAGTTAGTGTTTTGCAGAGATTCGGATCAGGACAGAGGTCAAGGGGAGTCTGTCCCTTCTTGTTCTTCAACTCCAGGTCGGCGCCATGGGCAGCCAGGAAGCAGGCAATGAACGAGCTGCTCTTCTTGTCCTGGCCCTGTGCGCCCAGACCCATCAGAAGACGTCCTACATCCTGAACGTCCTGCAGCTGTCGCAGCTGCGACAACGTGTGATATCTCAACGCTTCATGGAGAGGCGTGTCGCCATCCTTGTCGGCGACGTTCAGGTTGGCGCCCTCGCGCACCAGCAGCTGTAGCAGGATTTACGATCGGCATTTAATTATCGGAACTCGATGTGAAAGTTAATCTATCGTTTCAGTAACATTTCAATATTATGTATGCACGATACCGGTTCTGATGTTCTAATCGAGAGGTGGCAAAAAACGGAATAACAGATTTCTACAGGGTGTAACAAAAATGTTGTCCGACCCGGAAATGGGGCACTCGGGGGTTGAATTGGAACAAGTTTTTCCTTAGCAACAATGTAATCCGAGGCTTCGTTACCGAGATATTAACGAAAAACCGCGACTAATCAGAGCGCGGGTTTGCCAGACGAGTTCCCGCGCTAGCGGTGGCTACGCGCTGCGACTGGTAGGCAGCGTTACCGCGGGAACTCGGCTGGTAATCTCGCGCTCTGATTGGTCGGGGTTTTTCGTTAATATCTCCGTAACGAAGCCTCGGATTACATTGTTGCTAAGGAAAAACTTGTTCCAATTCACCCCCCGAGTGCCCCATCTCCGGGTCGGACAATATTTTTGTTACACCCTGTATACAGTGATTTACGACAATTAGGACTGAATAGTTTTAGGTTCTCTTACGTGAAAAAGTAAACGGAAAAAACTCCGTGTTTGATCTTACTCTAGGTTTAATCGTTTGTGTACTTTGTAACTGCGTAAAATCTACAAGCTAGTTATAATTTAGAATAGCTTCAAGCGTAGACTCGCAACATCATAATCGAAATAGCTATGAAATTTTGTAACGAGAATATTAATTGAAAAATATGTAATATCAATGAGTATTATGGTAAAAATATTATGTATTTATACATACATATATGTATATGAGTATTGTTGTGAAAGATTTCGTGTGTTCTAATAAAGACTAGATATAATGTTTGAAATGTTACTTGTAAATCGAATGTAAAGTCAAATACACCGTTTAACTTTGTACTTTTGTCTGATAGAAAATAGAACCTCCTGTGGGAATACTGTTTTATAGTGATTCTTAAACTACGTAAAAACTAATCTTTCTTTTGACCTGTGATTTATACATACACACTTATCTTCTTTAGAGATTATAAGCAGTTAGAATTTAAATGTACAATACGAAATTGTATAATTATCAATAAATAAAATTAAAATGCCATTCGAAGGAAATTAAAAGACTCTAAAATTACCGATATTAACTGTTATTTAAAAATTCTACCATGCAAACAGTTGTAATTTCGTATCACATATGTATCACATACGTATCAGTATGTATACAGTTTCAATAATGGGTATACTGTTGCAGTGCTGTTTCCATCAGAAAGAGGACACAATTCTCTGGGAGAGGAAGCTCGATGTTTGAAACGGTTTTTCAAAAGAAAATGGAACATTGGGAATGCCCGATGGATTGTTTGTAGAACATCGAATCAGAGGTGAATTCCTTTCTCTGGTGAAATAAACGTACACGAACGATCTGCGTGTGCTGTCGCTCCACGGCGAGATGCAGCGCGGTCTGCAAATTGACATTTTGCAAATCCAGGTCAGCTTTTCCAGCACGTGCGAGCTGTTCAGCAACTTCGACATGATTGTTGAGGGCAGCCAGATGAAGGGCCGTGTAGCCATCGTCCTTTTTCTCGTCAACTATCCATGGTCTCGGAAGTTTCGAGAGGAGTACCCGCATTGCACTGTAATCAGAAGAAAAAAAGCATTTGAATTCAGCGTTTGCCTCGTGATAGATTGATTTTAATTGCTACTAAAAATTCTCTGCATAATCATATATATATATAAAGTATTGCATTTAAAATATTGTATCGATTATATTAGAAAATTATATAGTTCTCCAGACATATATGTATATCCTATGTTGTATAAAAATTGTTATTACAAGTATCCAAGTATCAGATGAAGTTAAGTGTCTCAATAGACTTTTGTTAGGTAAAACCTTATAATTTCCCAATAACACGTGTTGGACTAACTACACTTAATTACATTTCAGATAGCACTCCGGAGATAACGTATTGGCATTCCAGCGTAGCAGTTAAGGGTTAGGTCGGATATAATTTATATAGAAAATAGGATGAAATTTTAGCCGAAAGATGTGCAGTCGGTATACATATGAATATGAAATACCAAAATTCGTGTATCTGTCATGCACGTTTGGCTTGATAGCTTCAGAATTATGGTTATTGTGATAAACAAATAATTCCATTACTTAAAAAAAAGTAAAAAAAAAATACGAAATAAGAACAAATTGGCTATTATTACTGTTAAGTTTAGTTGATTAAGGTTTTTAAACACATACGCTCGGAAATCGCAATTTTCGCTCGCGAATTCAATACGGCTTTGTTATCAAACGACGCGCAATCAATTATTCGACAAACGTTTGTAATTCGATGCAGCATTACTGCTTCGCATTAGTGTCGTTTGGCGCAGTTAACCGATGATAAATCACACGAAATCAAACAGATATTGGTCGTTCAGGTATTTTCATATCTATCGATGCGCATAGTTTACGCAGAAATCAACTGAAATCATTTTGGTTTATGATTGCAACATCATTAACAGACGCGACTATTGATTAACAAACATCCCTAAACTCCGATTAACAATGACGCTGTCCGTACTTACTGTTTGATTATTTAGTGGCAGATGTTCATGACAATACATATATTCACGATATACATATGTGCATCGTTTCGTATGACATTATGAAAAATGATTAGTGAAAAAAATAGTTGTATTTTTCACAACATCTGTTCAAATGTATTAAACCTTCAGTTAATAATTTAATCACCTTTACTTTTCACTATTTAAATATTTATTGTAATTATTAATAGAACAAAATTGTTGTAGTGTCGAAACGATTCTTATCACTTCTATTGTAGTTTACATAAAAAGCTTGCAATTTAATCGAAAATATTAAGATGACTAATATGTACATACCGTTCACTGTAGTTGTTGAAAATGTACTAAGGACTAGGTGAGAATTCCCTATAACGTACCGGTTTCGTAGATCGTACCTCATGTCGTCGAGGTAACTCCTAATTTGGTCTTACTACGTGTTTTTATCGACCTAATGTTTACAATTATAAATACAATTGAATAGAATGACGTTGCTGAAGTTCAGAAACTGACTGTCGCGTCACCTGTTTGGGGCCAGTATTTAAAGGAGTTCTTGTGGAAGGGGTGAACCCTAAGGTTAAGGAATTTAGAAAAGGATTTCAAGGTTGAAGAATTTAGAAAAGGACGACCTAGGAAATAGGGATATTGTGGAAAGATATTTTGGCGACATTCGAAATTTGGGAAAGGATACCTGGGAAATCGGGATGTCGCGAAAAGGCAGCATGGCGACATTTGGAATGCGGGTGAAAGTTTTCTCGGCGAACGGTCGAGTTCTTGGGGGAGGTGATTCGTTGGCGTTTATCGCGACACTCATCAATGTCTTCATAATTAATGTATCCATTTGTTGCATATTCTCGTATCGTATTACCGTTGTGTATAATCGTATCGTATCAGCATACGATACATTTTTATACGCAACGGTGCAACGCTTGACCTCGTCCACATTGATACACAACGGTCATACGATGCGAGGATACGCAACAAGTGGATATGCACCTTAATGGTAAAAGTATGAAATAAATGATCTATGTAAAGTATAAATAAGAAAGTTTAAGATTACACCGTATTGTGTGCGGGCTACAAACATTTTAAAAATTAGGTACGACTTAACGATATAACGTGTGACTAATTCATTTTAGCTGATAATAATAATAATTGTAATTTTATTACTTTTTCATTAATGCTCAACAAAGGGCTCCATTATTATAAAAAATATAAATTTTTTCTATTAAATGAAGCGATTTCCGCGATTATTAATAGTTTTCAATTTTTTGGTCTGCTCGTATTAACAATTTTTAGAACATAACTACGGTTGAATTTGCGTGGTAGTTCTTCTTCAGGAACAGTAACCTACAACGCCACGAGACTATTGCATTTTTGAAGGCTCGTGTGGATTTATAAATATATTCATAAATTGACATCTTTTTTAAGATTATTAAAACGTGAACTCTGTCTCGAAACATTGCCTAATTGATTCCAGAAACTCAAATTCAATTGTATCTTACCAGTTCTGTAAAAAAAAAATTAACAAGGTACCAATGTTTTTGAGTCTGTAACAGGGCAACCCATTTAACAACTTAATGAAGGAAAATAAGTAATGAAAGCAGAAAATCTTGAAGGAAATTCCGGGTACATCCGTTAACAAGACAATGAAATGGAATTGTGGAGATTGTAAAGGTAGCGAATTTTCCAGGCGAGTTAATCAATTTACGGCTATTGACGCAATAGCACTTGCACTCGATCCCTTTTGAATATTTATACCTATGAAATCGGTCGATTCGCAAGCTCGTGATTGCAGTCGCACTCGACTACGCCACGGAGCCCTTAGGGTTTGCTCGAATAAAAAAAAACTACACCACCGAAGCACCGTAAAAATTTTATAGTCTCCGAGTGGTGGTCTTTCTGGTGCAAGCGGAGGGACGTAAAATGCATAATGACGCCGAGAAATCGAATAAAATGGAGGTAGGGGCTGTTAAGTGTGAGTAAATCGATCCTGCGATAAAACGACAATTATACGAACTGATGCGAGTAATGGACTGTTTGCGTTAATCGTAAAAACAGTGTTCTTCTAAATAAACGAACCATACCGATGAATTTGTATTCCTGTTTTAATTTGTGATAACCACTTACTAACATAACTTTCATTGTACATCATATGAAATCTAATTTCGGCTTTCAAGTGTATTCGATTTTCTGCCTAATTTATGTTCATGTTTTACTTCGATAAAAATTCGGTATCTTCATAAGTGAGAACTATGTACACAACTACCCGAAGACATTCGAACTACGGTATATTCATAACGGAAATAGATAAGATAATACTATAACAATATTATAATTGTGTTGCGAAATTACATATCACTGTAAATATTGTAAGGCATAATTATATCATGAAGGCATATTTAAACCTTCGAGAGAGTGCGCGGCAAAGAAACAAATACCGTCGACGATACCGCCATGAAGCGACGTAGCGTCGTTCGCGGAGAGGGCATTGCGTTGTCGGCTAGACGAGAGTGCAGTTCTGCGTGTCTTGTTAAATAAAGTATGTATTAATTTTTACCGTTACAATCCTTTATTTTCGGCCCCTTATAATTCTAGAAGTGGGATAAAGGATCGATTAACTGTGGTGTGAGAAAGGTGTGATTTTGTGATAAAAGTGAATCACCATCATGTAGACGTCCCAAAGACTTTTAAAACGCGGAACTGAAGGTAGTCTTGAAGGAAAAGCATTTATCGACAGCGGGGGAAGAAGAACGAGTTGCTGGCCAGAATTATGTTTGAAAATGCTCTCGGCCTCGGCATTGCCAGGTATGAGCGTACAACAAAAACAAAGCGAGGTTCTACACCAGATGGGTTAGGTCAGAAGCAAGCAATACCAGAGCCGGCAAGAATGATACAACCAACGGGCTATGCTGAAAGTGTATCGCTCGAAGATGGATCGTAGCGAGAACGATCTCCATATGCTGCAGCGTGAATTGAACCTTGCGCGACGTGGAAACGCATTTTTACGTATGTCGTCTCCTTCTCTGGTTAACGGAAGCGAGCGTGTTACGAAGCAACCGGTAAACATTACTGCGGTGAGCGCATTATTATGCGATTATAAATAGTTAATTGAAAATAGTTAACTGAACAAAACCAACTACAAAGACATCTCAATAAATTGACCAACAATTTTCTGAACAACTTCTATAAAATTAGGTAATTGAAAAGATGAAAATCTTTAGATCGATCGAAAGTTGTATAATAGCGAGATCACAGTATTGCATTTGTTTAAACTTTGAAGGAAACATCGATGATCTTTACGTACATGTCAATTTAACATTTGTCAGAACCACTGGTTGGCCAGCACAAGCCAGTTGTTGCTTATGTTTGCTTTTGCTTTAATAAATAGAATGTAAATGCTCCCGAATTTCAAATCATCCTGTATGTTTAGTTGAAAAACGGAAGCTCTACGACTATGGAATCTGTGCGTGACAAGCAAAAACATGTGCGTGTGAATACGAAAAGAACACATGCACGTCTGTTGCGCCCCAACCGTGCTGGTGCCTTGAGGAGGTCCTGTCAGACAGCTATCACATCTCTTTCTGCCTGTAGCCTCAAGAAAAGTCGCTCCATGGGGTCCGAAAGGCGCAACCATAGTTGGAAATACAAGCATCGGTGAAATGACGTTTTTATAATTAACACGAAGTAAAGATAGTAACGACGAAATTATCTTTAGACATTAGAAAACTTCGTTACTGATACGGAGAAATTTAGGCTATGGATATTCATGTAAATATATACGTTTCTGTTAACGAGTTTATAGAAATTCATTATACTTTTGTGAAACTTTTTACTCCATTGAATTTTACGCAAGCGTGTATACTATGTATAAAGTAATAAAATCTCTAGTCTAATAATAATTGCAACTACTATCTGTTCTCAGTTCGAACTTCGAACTTCGAACGGGAAATCCAATTGATAGGAAAATAAGTATAGATTTTTACCACAATCACAGAACAAAATAGAAAATGAAAAAAAATAAAAAAATAAAAATGGTAACGGAAACACTGTGCTCGA